ATACACAGAAAGTTGATCAAAAGTTGTTAATTAGTCTTGAGCTCTTACACAGTAAGCCAGGGAAGGTAACTTGTGTATAGTTGAAGATATGAAATCGAATAAACAGTATTTTACCAATAAGTGAAGTAATAAAACAAGCATCTTTTATGGTGCTTTTGACGTTTGGAGTAGGCTTTACAAAATTTAGTTGCATAACAGCTTACTGATTGCTTGAATCCCTGTATATACAGTGCAGTAGACACAGGCCTTTAGCAGATGAACTGGTGTTCAGACATGAGTTACAGCCCTCTGAGCGAACAGGTTGTTTTTACAGGTATTCACCTGTTTTTGACAATGAAAACCAGAGCTCTCTGTTATTATACCGGACCAAATATGAACACATTTTCTATATTTTCATTCAGCATTTGGCTTCGATCTTCATAATTCAGGTCTTTATAGAAAATAACAAAATGTCCAGCATTTGACTGCATTTTTGTTTTTACCTACCGTACAGCAGAAACATTTAAGACAATTGAAAGAGTTGGTGATATTATTTATACAAAACACAGTTCTATTTAATACTGCCTTTATTTAATTTAACTGATTTCAGTTAAATGCTATATACGATGCTAAATTATGTTTTTGTTATTTACTTACGACTGTCTTGCTAATAGCAATAGAAATGTTATTGTTTTTAAAGCTGCTGATTATAGATGTGTTCTGTATCAATTTCGACAGTCTGTCTTTTTGTGGCTCTGGTTCTGTCTCCTTTTGTAGACTGGAACAAGGTCGCATGCATAGCTGGGAGGTTTTTAGCTCTCTATGATATGTGAGGCAAAGTACTGCAACCATAAATGTCCATTTTGCCATCAGTATCTTAAGGGGAATTTGTAAATGAAGAAAGTACCAAAGTGCAGTGAAGTATTTGTTGTGTTTCAGAGATCCAAAATGACATCATTTCCAAGGCTTTTGGTCCAGAGTCCGATTTCCAGAGATATCACCATCTACCAATTAAGGAAAATGGCCCAGGAAAGGGGCTCCAAAGGATTCTTGGCCCAGGAAATGACTGGGAAAGACAGGTAATAATATGCTAACATCCCTCTTGTGCAAGTCACTGCTGCTTAACCTTTCTGCTGAAAAAACATTCAGTTTTTTAATGGAATTTTAAGGAATTCATACTTTTATTTCATTCCATAAGTTAAGAGCCAACCTGTGAGATTTGTTTAATGTGTGGTAGGCGTTTCTTATGCTACATTTTTGTTTAACGTAGATTATCTTGTCCCAATGCTGAAAGCATCATGAATATCAACAGTGTAGCTACTGTTGGTTCTACCCTGTATTAGTTTCATGTTGTTGAAGCAGACACCCTGGCCTCTGGATGAGGACTGGATTGATCAGTTACAGGCTAGATTGGCCAAATGGACTCCTCTCATTTGTCACCTTTTTAATGTTCTCAAGGCAAGATGTGTCTCCTTTTTAAATGTAATGACTGCGTTTTGTATGCCAGCTGTAGCTTTAGTTCAGAGATGTGTTACAATGTGTCCTTGTTTCTTTCCTCAAACGTAACACACTCACGACTTTGATTTCAGTTAATGGAAGTTCTTTTTCATTAGTTATCTTATACTCAGTGCTTTCTTTGCTGTTGCTGTTTGAAGGTTCCTGCCTGAACTTCCACAAAAGGGCAACAGACCAACCCAGAATCTGAAAGTCTTGCAGGTCAGGAGACCAATAGGGGTGAGTAGTTAAAAGAAACTTATGTTGTTAAGATGATTGACGTCCTGGACTGGAGAGCCTTTTGTAGCTCTTGAGATGGGAAAGATTTTGTCTGCTCAGACACAGGCCTGCAGCCCTGGAACCTGCTCTCAGGCTCAAGTAACACAGAAGACATGTCTGTCTAATCACAGAATAATAATCTTATAAATATAATAGTTATTAGATACCAAAATAGTTTTATTTCACATCACATATACAAAATAACCATTTCTTTTTTAAATTGAGTGATCTTTCCAAGTACATTAATTCTGTATAGCCATGCTTAAAACTACGCACCCTTTTATGGTGGCTTAAGGTAGGAGATAGCCTGTATTTCCCACAGAAAGTTTCCTTTCACTAAAAGTTCTTTAACATGAAGAACATTACAACAGTATGTGTAATCTGATGCTGAATGAAACCCCCTGACTTGTGTTCCAAGCCTTTTCCTTAAATTCTAGTTTTCGGCTGTCCTCTTCTGGCCTACAAACCTGCCAGCACAATGTTGTCATCTTACGGAAATGTCTCCTTCTTGGTTCTTCATACTGTAAATAACAGAACTATCCAGCAAATGGGCTCTATGGAACAAACTCTAGAAAGAGAAAGATGACTTCTGCTGCGCGTCTCTTTCCACAGCTGACCTGGAAGCAGTGGAAGGGCACGGAGAGGGCACACCTGATAAGCATGAAGGGAGAATTCTCAGAGACCCCACAACCGGTCCAGAGCAAGAAGACCCCCAAATTTCAAAAACAAAGAGAGGTACAGCACAGCACAGGTCGAAGGGAGGTCGGTCGCTTGAGGTTCTTGTCAGGGATGTGTCAGGGTTTCAGTTGTTTTTCTGGGGGGGATTTGAAACTTTACTGCCCCCTGTCCCATAATGTACCATAATTCTTCAACTGGGAATCCTCATGGTGTGCCTACATTTGTGTCTTCTAATTTTCTGCACTTGCTGCATGAAGAACTACATGATTGTTTGGGTAGATGTTGTAGACCATAGAAACGGGGATTTGTTCTCTGAATCTGAAACTTTTTCCATCAGAATTTATTTTAGTTTCCTTGAAGATGTTCTTTGGTTAAATCAAAAACCTTACATCAGAATGAGTTCAGTTTGATCTTGATTCATATTTTATGATCGTATTAAGACCTATTTAACCTTTCTGAATCTTTCCCACAGAAGACCCACTAGAATCATAATGTTAATGTAATATCAAATACATTTTAGATTTAGGAAAACTCTACCCAGTCTTGCAGACACTAATCAAAATGCACTATAGATGTGCAGAGACAATAACATTTTACCCACATAAAAAGCCTCTTTTTCTCAGTGAAATCTCAAAGTGCCAGCAGACTTACAGGTGAGCCAGCAATCAGACATTAAAGAGCTTCATCTGGTGTTTTATTTAATCAGCGCACTCTAGCCTGACCACAGGAATGTTTTAAAAGGGAAGATACAAAACACCACCTTCATAAAAAAAAACCTGATTGTCATTTCTAGATTATCCTAGAGGACAATCTAAAGGACAAGTTGCAGGAGAGGATGGACAATTTGAGAGGAAAGGACGATACTGTTAAAAAAGAATATTTAAATGAAATATTTGATTCAGAAAAACAGGGTAAGGTTTTGTCTCCATCCACTAGTACTGTAGGTAAATTGTAGAAAACTATTTTAATGTTACAAGTCTAAATGAGATTTAAATATGGTGGTGCATTTATTTCAAATCAACGGCAAAATGCAACATTGGTAATTATGAGGTGAGAGTAACTTCTGTATTTTCAAGTCACTTGGCAATGTCACATCAACTAAACTGACCAAACCGTATTTAAAATGAACATTTTCCAAAGCTTGAACTGTAGCTGTTGTACTGTATATTGATATTGCATTAAGAGGCATCATGGCATCATTTACTATCATTTAAATTGTTATTACTTATCCAGAATATATTCTGTATTTTGCAGTATTCTTAACGATTCTCGAATTACTAATTTTGCTTTACATTACTGTTTGTTAGAAGAACATTTTACTGTCTGAAATAATGTGATTAAGTCAGGTCATTCTAACATGGTGAGTCCTCTATTTCACAGAAAAGTCACAGAAGAATGATAAAGACAACAGATCAGTGATCAAGGAGGACATCTCTACAATTTCTGCAGGTTAGAAAAAATATATCCCAGCAATTTTATTTTGTGTATTTAGTTTAAAAAATATTTTATAATTTAATATATACAGAAGCATGATTCAAGAATTTACATACAATAATTGTAGACACCCATCTATCTTGGTTTTTAAAAATTTGGCAATTTACACTAGTGAGGTAGCTGATTGACAATTGGATCCCTGAGATCTATAGTCCTTTTATGAAATTAAGGCCAAGAATCCTCCTGAGTTGTTTTTGGTACTTGAATGCTTACGATAATAAAGTATAAATGCAGAATTTTAAAATACTGTAGCTTTTTAGAATTTTAAACAGAATAGACAAAGAGAACTGACTTATGCTTTCAAAATTCTCAAAGGCAGTAGCAAACATAATCTTATGGACGTCAGCATCAGCAGTGAACACACAGCAGATAACACAATTAAACACAAACCAGACGACACAAGAGGAAACTACTTAGAAGCACATTTAAAACTTGGATTAGAAGGCAGTTCTTTACACAGTGAGTTGTAGGAGTATGTAAAAAGCCATCCAGCAAAGTTGTTGCTGAAGTACACTGACTTCTTTCATGAAATGGATGGTTGAGATCCTCAGATTATTCAGCTAACAGCAACTAATCAGACTAGATGCGCTGTATGGCTTCTTCTCATTTGTAAGTTTTCTTATATATATTCTTAAATATGATCTGAGTGAAATTCTTTTCTTTTGCCTTCGTACAGATAATATTCCATCCAACTTCTTTGGAGAGATGTCAACCAATTCATCCTCCAGCACTTATCTCTTTAAGCAGCTGTCTGATGGGTAAGCTGTGCTTGTCTTTACTCTAGTGAACACCTGCAGAGGGGAAAAGCATAGTGTGGGCTCTAGGCTGTGTTTGAGAATGATTATGTATACAAAACTAGTAATATTAACTATACTTCTTTGAAAGCAGAGTGTCTAATACAATTCCCAAGTGTGTGAATATGTGTCTTTCCTATGTGTGTGCTGTGTGTGGATAAGACTAGTTATTATTTTCAAAATGTTCTACACAAGTATGTACAGGATGAATATTAATAAGAATAATTTATTTTTTAGGGAAATAAAGATCATTGAAGACAGCCTATGTGGCACAGTAAGCTTTTTACAGTTCTTTTCATGCACAAGGATTCATTTCATTTTGTACTGGACTTAACTATAGAACTGATTTCTAGCACATTGTCACATTGTTCCATTAGTTGCCAGTTGAGCTGGGGCCACGTTTGTTATTAGAATGTGGATGCTGCCACCTTCTGGAACCAGCGAAGAATTCAAATGGGAGTATTGCTCATGTCTGCGATTCAGAAAAGGGAATAAAGATGGTGTGGCAGAGTGGTTCAGATGTAGATCTTAAATAACTATCTTTAAAGGTCTGCAGGTACACTATGGTGGCAGTTAAAGCTTCAGCTGGCTGTAGCAGGGTTGTTTTCTTCTTGTTTATGTATACACGATTCTCCTGTGTTACCTCCCCATCCCTGGGAAGTGTGGTCCACCCGAATAAAGGAGTGCACTAACCATTAAACTGGAGAGTTTTGCTAATGAGAAGGAGTGAGAATAGTTTAGAAATGTTAACTACAGAAGCCGGTGGATGTTTTTATGGGAGGCTATGTAATTGCTGTTTTTGATTTGATTTTGATAAGTCAGGATACAAACAATTTCTAACAATAGGATAATTCAGGATACACATGTTCATATATAGAAAGAGACTACCACACATGAGAATGATTTGATCATTGGCCATGATTGAGTATTGACAAAGGTTCAGTCCTTTGAGTGACAGAGGATGATGACAGATGATTATCTGCCCATGCAGGGGACTCTGGGACATTAACGCAGAGCTCTCCAGCTCATAGGTGGAGTAAAAATGGAGGCCTCCACTAGCATTTCTATTTACCTGTACAGTATTTTTAATAACTGCATGAACTCACTAGACTGTGATCAACCTGAATATTACCATATTATAGCTGTAGTGATACTTATGCCTGACATCCTACTGGGCTATATCACATCAAGCCTGTAAATTAAAGGGCAGTGAATAAAAGAATGCTAATTTCTCTTTCTTTTCTTGTTTCAAACCAGATAACAATGGTTGAGCTTAATGACCTGTCGGAGAGTATAGTGGCATGGGTGGTGGTGTCTATTTCCAGGACGCTACTCCCAGCCATCTCTCTGTATGAAGAGAGAAGCAGAAGTCTGTCTCAGAGCTCCTTCCAGTCCCAGGTGCATATCAGCACCAACGAGGAGACCCTGCAGGCTACGCTCAGCTCTCACTCCCTGAGCAGAACTGGCTCCCATTGCTCAGTGCAGGTCCAGAGGAAGAGCAGTGGCTTCATATGTGGGAGAAGCAGGACCTCCACTCCCTTTGCTTCACCATGCTCATCCTTGACTTCCCTGGAGAATTACGCAGAGGAAGAGAGAGGCAATGATGCACCCAGCCACATAAAAACTGGCACACCCTCACCCAAACTGGTGGATACTGAAGGAAGGGAAAAGATTGAGGAAGATAGCTCTGAACCTCTAAAGAAACTGTTTGGAATCCCTAATTCTACCATAATCAAAAATGCAGACTGTATAGTACAAGATGTTATAGGTAGAGCACTCATTGAAATACAACATCCTGCCCCCCAGGAAGAACCATGGCATTCTCATGTCAGAAGCCTTATACCTTCCTCTAGGTCCAGTAATCTAGCATCTAAAATTCTAGATGATGTCCTTGAGTGTGTCAATTCTGCCTTATCAACAAGCATACAACAAAATTCCACCAAGAGGCCAGCAAATGGTGTGCCAGACCATCTGGAGACCCAGGAGGTGGAATCCACAGACTCCCAGGTTGCCAGGAGGATCTTACAGCTTGTTTCTGAGAAACTTGAGCCTTGTTTCACTGACACCGTTGAAGCAGTGACTCAGGAGGAAATGGAGTCTGAGTTAGGAATCGTGGCATCGGAAATCATCAATGCTGTCTTAGAAGAGATCAAGACAGTTAAAGACAGGCAAAGGGTTAGTGAGTTAACTCCTGATGTTCCGCAAAACAGAGAAATGGTTACATCCATTGGAAGTTCTGTGACCAGGAGCAGCTCCTTTCAGCTTGTGCCACTCAAGCACATTGAGACTGTAGAGGAAGTCTTTCCCAAGCAAGAAACAGAAGCTAAATGTTTTCTGACTTGTGATATAAATCCTCGATCTTTTGAGTCACCAGTGGGAACCAAAAGAGTACTCAGGGAAAATGTAATGGGAATCTCGGAATCTGAGATCAATAATACTCCTAAGCAGCTAGTTAAAAGGGAAGTTAGACCTGTTGCTAAGTGTTTAGCTGATAGACACAAATCAGAATCTCGGGGGAGAGCAACGCTGTTAGTAAGTCAAGTTATGATGAGAGCTGCAGCAAAGCTCAAGTCTTTTAATCCCTCTGATCTTTTGGAGACTTCAGTCAGCATTACTGGTGAAGCAGCTTTACTGACAGCACTGGATATGCCAAAACATTCCCAGAGGACAGTGTCCTTAGGCTCATCCAGTTTTTATCTGGAAGTCAATGCAGCAGCTTCTGGTCTTGTTGATGCTATTCTTGAAAAACTTCAGCGTGCGGCCGCCACTGAAAAGCACAAGGATACAAAGGAAGCCTGCAACTCAGATTTCCCACCAGAATTTGAAACAGCAGTTTCATCTAGGCAGGTTCATTCAGTAAATGAAGATGTCTTTAAAACTGTGATGACTAAACTAAAACATTTTTTTAGTCAGGACACTCTGATTGCATTCAGTGCAGCAAAACGTTCACCTGACAAACAAGATAAATTAGATGGCCCCCTGAAACATTTTCCTACTTTAAAACGAGTTCTACCACAGACTAACTCCAGTGAACCTTATTCTTTCAAGGAGAGCCACTTGATGCAAAAATCCGTTCTTCCTATATGTCCCAATGCCTCAGAGCATTTGGGTGTGTTAAGAGATATCAGTTCGTTGAGACCTATCCTGAAAAGTCAGGATATTCAGTTAATGGTGAAAACCTGTGCCCAGGACATTGTCTGCCAGCTAATGCAGACCATCAAGAGTGAGATGAATAGGGTGGAAACAATGAGAGCTACGCTCTCAGAGGAATCCTTGCTGGCAAGTTTACAGGTAGATACTATTATAATACGAATTGAGACTGTTAAAGTATCAGAGCTGAACCTGTCTCTCAATACCAAAGAGTCTGAGAAAGACAGAAAGGCAGATGAAGAAGCAGTTGTCCGTAAGAAAATATGCTCTCGTCAGCATGTTCAAACTGTCAATGCACCTGCAACAGTATTCCCTTCTCACATGGGTCAGGTCGAGTACTGTAGCCGCAATATTCCTGGACAAACGCCATCTAGTATCTTCCCCAAGCTTCCAAGTCGAATGAGTCTTGTAGCGAAACAGGGAGACACAGTGGCATCTGAGAGCAGACAGCTGAGCCAAGCCCTGGTTTGGAAGGAACTCTCTACTTCACTTGATCTGATCAAGGAATCACCCTCCAATGGAACATTGAGGGAACCAGAGAGAGCAAGAGCTGCCAGTGTTGAGGAAGGAGACCACTCCCTCACCTCACCAACCTGTGCGACTCCTGCTGGAACTATCCAGGCAGCAATTTCATTGTCCAACATTGATTTTATTGCCATGAAAATTGTCGATAGAATAGTGACTAGATTTGAATTATTGGCATGTGCAGAAGATCAATGTAATCATGCCACTAACAAAGACACAAGTGAGTGTGATGTAACTCCCACCTCTAAGAGCCGAGCTCATGAGTCAGTTGGGAGGATTCACAAGGTGTCCCATGGACTTCAGGACCCGGGGGCAAATGTCTCGCTACTTCAGACAGGAGGGCCAGAAGAACGGGGCTGTTCAAACAGCTCCATTGCAGTGGCTCCCACAATGAACGCTGCTGGGAAGACACTGGGAGGGATTCTCACCAGTAGCATACCCAGTCTGTTTTCAGAGGAACTGATCGATACTGTTTCAAAAGTGATTTCGGAGTCAAGCATCACAAAAAAGTCAGATAGCAATCCCAACTCTGAAACAGCAGACAAGAATTTGAAAACGTCTGTGTTTTCTATTCAGTTTCTGATTCTGTACGCTGAAAGATCGGTGAGAAAGCTTTTGGAACTGGGTCTGACTTTCCCAGGTTCTCAATCGAGAGAATCAGAGGAACATGATGTTTTTGGTGCTCCACATGTGTTTAATAAGACATTCTATACCGTTGAACAAAAAGACAAAGAGTCTGTGACGAATTCAGGACATGGCCTAGAGAAGAGGAATCACAGTTCACAGATACATAATGATGCATTGGACCTGCTCACCAGAGCTCTGGTACAATTCGTCATCAAAGTTTTGTTTGCCAGCTATGATTTGCCATTAGAGCCCAACAATAGTGACAGTGAAGGTAAGAAATCAAGTTTTTCTCCACCTTGTTGTTGTCTTTTAAAAAAAAATAACTATTTGTAATTGAGGACCACTCAGTCAACTCAACTCAACTCAGTCAACTCAACTCATGTAAATGCAGCATTTAAGTATGCATCTATCAAAAGTGTATTTGTATTGTTTATATTATGTCTAACTTTGCTGTATTCTCTTACCATGAATCATGTTGTTTAAAAGTTTGTTGTGAATGTCCTTTAGTTGTTTGTACTGATTTTCTGACATGCAATTTTCCCATGCTGCCTTCCATTCAATAGCATAACCTACATTTTCTGCTGAATTGTCTACCCTTTCATTACTTACAGTTGACACAACATGCATCTTTATGTCACCAGGGATTGCCAGGAGTGTCTCTGTGGAAAGCACACAGGAGACCCTGGAAGAAAAAGTGATTCTGGATTGTGACACGAAAAGATTCTCCAAGGGGAACGTTCCTGGCTCTGACAACACTGCTCATTCCCTGCACACGGAAGAAAGAAAAATAGATGGGAAACTTACCCAAACAACAAGAGGAAGACCTTTAATAACCTACGGGGTTCTGCCGCCAATAAAAGAGAGACCACGTCAGGGGCAGCCAAGCAGCAAGGATGAGCCTGGACAACAGACAGTGGGTGAACTCCAGACTGAGGAAGGAATGTCCCCCGGAGAGAGACCGTGGAACAAAAAACAGGAACCTCCTGCAAAAGGTAACAGAGGAGCCACTCTGGAGCCTATGAGGAGACCAGAAGCTAAGCCAGCTGATGTGTCTTTAGAACAGCAGGTTGTTGAACCTGTTTCTTCAGCAGGGCAGAATACAAAAACCACAACTTCTACAGTAAAATCAGCAGACTCGTTTGTCACTGTGTTGAGCTTTGAAACTCTATACGTTTTAAGTATGCATCTATCAAAAGTGTATTTAAGGAAAATTATGTTTTAATTAAATGTTCTATTACTGTATGCAATTATTTTAAGAGTGAATTCCCCATCTATTTTA